CCCCAATTCCCCAAAAAATCTTAAAAAAGAAAAAAAAAAAGAAAAACTCATAGTGAACAATATACTCACTGGTAAATGACTGAAAGCGTTTCCTCTAAGATGGAGAACAACGAAAGGATGCCTGCTTTCATCACTTGTATTTAGCATAGTACTGGAAGTTCTAGCCAGAGGAATTAAGCAAGAAAAAGAAATAAAAGGCATCCAAATAGGAAAGAAGTAAAATTATCTCTTTTTCACAGATGACATGATCTTATATGTAGAATACCCTAAAATTCCACAAAGTATTTTAGAATTAATCATTCATCAAAGTAATAGGCTATAAATCCATCACAAAAAAATCAGTAGCCTTTCTATACCTAACAATGCACAATCCAAAAAGGAAGTTAAAAAAAATTCCATTTACAGTAGCATCAAAAATAATAAAATAATAATTAACTTAGTAAAAGAGATGAAAGACTGTATGCTAAAAACTATAAAACATTGATGGAAGAAATTAAAGAAGCCATAAATGAATGGAAGGACATCTGTGTTCATGGATTGGAAGATATTATTAACAAAGCCATCCACAGATTCTGTGAAATCTCTAGGAAAATCCCAATGTTTTTCTTTGCAGAAATAGAGAAATGCATTCTAAAATTCTCATGGACTCTCAAGGGACCCTGAGTAGCCAAAAAAAAATCTTGAAAAAGAAGAACAAAGTTGGAAGACTCACACTTCCTGATTTCAAAATTTACCACAAAGCTATAGTCACCCAAATACTGTGGTGCTTGCATGAAGACAAAACACAGACCAATGGAACAGAACAGAGATCCCAGAAATAAACCCTGACATATATGGTCAAATGATTTTCAACAAGCGTGCCAAGACCATTCAATGGGGGAAGTGACAGTCTTCAACTAATGGTGCTGGAAAAACTGGATATCCACAAGTAAAAGTATGGAGTTGGACCCTTACCTAACACCATATACAAAAATTAACTCAAAATAGATCAAAGACCTGAACATCAGAGCTAAAACTATAAAACTCCTAGAAGAAAAAAAATAGGAGTAAAAGCTTCATGACACTGGATTTGGCAACGATTTTTTGGACCTGACACCAAAGGCACAGGGAACGGAGGAAGAATTGGACAAATTGGACTTAATCAAATTAAAAAAACCTTTTGTGTACAAAAGGCCACAATCAGCAGAATAAAAGGGGAGAAAATACTTGCAAATTCCATATCTGATAACATCAAGAATATAGAGAGAATAAAACTCAACAACAAAAACCTGATTTAAAAATTGTCAAAGGACTTGAATAGACATTTCTCCAAAANGGGGCAGAGAACAGGAATGTGTCAGGAATTAGGGAAGACAACTCCAACATCTGCACACGGGTGGGTGGGAGTGTGAAAAGGCCAGAAGGAGCATCAGGAGTGTGCGTGGGGAGAGGGTCTGAACTAAGGGGCAGGGGTGAGGAGGGAGGAGGTGGTCGTGCAGAGAGGAGGATGTGCTGGGAGGAAGGACCCACAGGAACTGCGGACTGGCAGGGTGCAGGGTTTGGAGATGCAGGAGGAGGAAGTGGGAAAAGTCCAGGGTACATCCGGGCTACGAGCTGGGTGCCTGGATGGGTGGTGGAGCCACTGGTGGGAAATGGAGGGGCGGTGCGTTTGGGGCCATGGCAGGTATTCCGTTCTGGACAAGCTGGGTTTGAGCTCCCCGTGGGTGATCAGGATGGAGGTCCTGGCTGGAAACACGGACCTGGAGTTGCAACTGGGGCAGCAATGGCACTGCCTGAGTGGAGCGCGTGGGGTGAGTGGAGCAGCTGGCCACAGACTGCCTGACGAGCGCCAGGACTGGGTGGCAGAGGATGGGGAACCGGCAGGACAGACAGACTGGGAGAACGGTATCCATAAAAAATGCGGGGAGGACCACAGGAAAGGGCTGGTTAACAATGCCAGATGCTGGGTCCCTGTGGAGGAATGGCTGTAGGGAACGTTTGGGATGGAAGCTGGATGGGGTCACACCAAAATGAGAATGGGAAGTGAAGGAGGAGAAGCCGCCATTGCAGACTTGGCTGAGGGGCAGGAGAGAGAAGACCCTCCCCAGGGGGAATCCGGGTCAAGGAAGGCTGTAGAGGGAAAGGGGCGCAGGGGTTAGGAATGTAAGGTGCAGGCTCAGACAGGCCTGCACCTGGACCCTGCTCGGCCCCTCACTCCAGACGGCCCTGAGCCTGCTCCTCCTCAGCCAGGCGGGGTTCAGCCACAACGAGTGCTCCGTGCCTGGCACAGAGGGTCCTGTGGCTTATGGAAAAGGAGTGAGTAGGCAGGGCACGGTTTACAGGCCCTGGGCTGTACTGTGGGGGTGAGAGATGGCTGATGGAGGCAGGGGACACTGCCAAGGTCACACAGGAAGTCACTGGCAGGGCTGTGACCTTCAGGCCAAGCCTCTCCCTAACTGGCCACAGGAAGAGATGCCCCAGAACTGTACCCTGGGTTAATGGGGTGCACCCCACACGGTCCTGCGTGCTGTAAAGACAAGACTCTGGTGCGTCCATTGGTCCGGTAGGCTTTGCTCTAAGGCCCAGGCTGCTTTGGGAGCACGTGGAGAGCAGCAGCAGCATGTTGAATTACTGTTGGGACCCTTGGCCTTCCCCACATGACGAGCTCTTCTGCAAAGCACCCCAGCAGTGTGGAACCCCGGAGGACCCCTCGGCTAGTGATCTGTTTCCAAGACACCTAGCCACCTTCTCTTTCCAAGTCAGAAAGTCTGGGAGTTCCATTAACTTTTTTTTTTTTTNGAGTCACCAGCCAGCCCAGTGTGGGTAGCGATGCTCAGTGAGGGGTGTGCAGGCAGGAGCCCAGGGTGCCTGGGGGGAGCCCTGCCCTGTGGAACTATTATGCTACAGTTGCTAAGGGGCCTCAAGCAAGCTGGAGACAATGTAAGCAGAAGGAGCGTTGTCACTGAAGGCTGCCCAGGAGAGCAGGGCTCTGTCCTCCTGGTCAAGACTTGCAGCATGTGACTTTGAGGTCAAGGTCATTATGCTCAACCCGGAATCCTTTCCTGCCCGTGTTCTGTGGCCCCTCCCACCCTCATGTTTAAGCTCAGATGATAGTGCAGAGCATGTTTGCACACTGGCGCAGTGCACGTGGGAGGGTCGGGGCTGAGGGTGGAGCCCTGGGGGTTCTAGGGCTTGACTTCAGCTTCCCTTTGGTAGATGGCGATTCTACTCGCTGACTCATCTGTGTGTGTTTGTGTTCAGTGAGTATCTAGTTCACACCAAGCACTATGCCAGGGACTGGGGACAGTGAAAGGAACAAATGAGAGGGTCATAGGGAGAACCCTTTAGAAACCACATAGCACCTGACCGTTGGGTCTTACCTGATACTTCGTGCTCCGGGCATATGTTAACCCACGGCATCGCCCCCTTCATGATGCCCTGTGTATTAGTTCTCAGGTCCATCAGGGACAGAGGGGCAGGTCTTATCAGTCCTGCCTTCTAGAGAGGCTGTTGCCCAGGGCAGCATTTGGAGATGTTAAATGTCCAGGAGTGACCCACCTCCCTGGTCTGGGAGTAATGGGCTGCTTTCCTTGGTGAGTGCTCAGCTCTGACATGTTTCAACTCATCATCTCCCAAAGAGATATGAATATGTCCTTTAGGCCATGCTAAAAGTATAGCTCTTTCCCTAGGAGAACCTGGAAATATCTGACAAGGTGTGAAAATAGGTACCGAGCAGCCAGCCTGAAGAAAATTTGCAGATGACAACACGAGTTGGTGACTCTGAGAGATGGGTTATAAATACCACCTTTGAAGGCAGCTGTGGCGCCATCTGACTTCCGTGTTTTTCTCAAACTCAATGATGTTATTTTATGTAAATAAAGTAATACTTGTTCACTGTATAAATTTGGAAAATACAGAGAAAAAAGAGGCAAAGGAAGATCAGACATCACCTACCATTCACATTTTAGTTAATTACTTTCTTCCTAGGTTATTTATTTATTTATTATTTTGGGGGCCTAAAAATACTTGTGTGTGTCAAGTTTTGCAAACATGACTTTCATGGCTGCCTACTGTTTTGCCATTGTTGGCCTTCTCCTCGGTTGGCTATTTAGGTTGTTTTCCAGTTTACAGCACCGTTCATTCTGTTGTACAGATGATTCTCATTTGTACGTTCTGACCCGTATCTCAGGGCACTTCCTAGTGCGCGATTTTTGGCTCTGGAATGATTGGGTCATTTTATGAAGCTGGTTTGTGCAGATAGAGGCTGGGTTTACTGCGTGGAAATTGTGACAGATGGCTGTGGTATGGGCTGGTGTGGAAAATGGAAAGATGAGCTCCCTTTCTATTCACATTTGGGTCCTGAATGTGCCATTGAGATCAGCCTTTGGTGGTGGTCAGAGGGACTTTCCACTAACAGTACATGTCAGTCCTCACACAGCAGCTTTGAGTGTTCGGACACTCCATCTTGGGTTGTAATTAATAACAGCAGCTATTTATCAAAGTGAGATCTTCTAGGGAATCAGCTTATCTAAAGAGTCAGCACGGGATTATCGCACGCTTGCCGATAACGCTCCCTCTACTGAGGAAACGACACACTTGC